CCCCCCCCCCCCCCCCCCCCCCCCCCCCCCCCCCCCCCCCCCCCCCCCCCCCCCCCCCCCCCCCCCCCCCCCCCCCCCCCCCCCCCCCCCCCCCCCCCCCCCCCCCCCCCCCCCCCCCCCCCCCCCCCCCCCCCACCCCCCCCCCCCCCCCCCCCCCCCCCCCCCCCCCCCCCCCCCCCCCCCGTATTTTGAGCGCTGTTATCTACACTAGTTGGCCAGAAGGGATTAGACTTCCCTGCATGGTCACTGACAGGTGGTTATTTCATCAAATTAGCTCTCAATTAACATAAGAAAAAAGGGACCATGGGGTACCAGCGGTCACGGTTAGGCATGGTTTGCTATATAGAGGGCGCAAGTAGCTATAAGTAGTGCAGTGGAGCTTTAATAGTGAAGTCCTGTATAGCACTTGTGTCTAGCAATATGCCACTCGTAGCCCTCCATTATTATTACCCCAGCTTTAGCACAGCTGCCATTACATCACTTGAGCAAGTATGAATTATCTCACCTAAATTTAGTGTGGCAAATGTACATTAATATCTTGCAAAAGGGATCAATGTTACCAATGTGTTCATCACTATCATCAACATCATTTATGACATCACTTTTGCCTTCCTTGTCAATAGTAGTTATTACAATCACTATCCTAAATGAATAGCCTGGTTCAACTTTGTTGCATACTTTTTTAAAGAGTTTGTTCTTACAAATAATGTACTGTATGCAGACTTGATTCCAAGTATTGTAGTTCATTCATTAATAACAGGTTAATAGAATAACTCGTCACTATATGTAGGTCCCAAGGTAATAATCATCCATAAACTTGAATATGTTAGTAAACTGGTCAATTATCATGGAACTTCTTTTATCATTACGCTTGGAATTTGGAACATAAACCATGTTAGCTACTTGGAAGTTCAACCAAATAGGTATCTGTATAGTTCAATCACCTTGTTAAGTCTTTACCCAAGTACTCAAATAGTGCAATGGAATTGGAGAACAATAAGGCTGTGCAGGGTAGTCGAATGCTGGAGTACCCGCACGGTTGACAACGACTCGGGTACGATTTCTCGTACCCGAATATTCGGCCGCAAAAAAAAAAAAAAAAAAAAAAAAAAAAAAAAAAAAAATTAAATGTCCAGGCCGACGCTTACCCGTGCCTGGGTGAGCGGCGGCCGCTGGCATGGTGCCGTCGGTAAAAATGTTTCCCAACTCAAGCACTGTCAAACTCACCACTCAGAAACTGGGACCAAATGTCTGGATTTCTGCTTGGACTTGGAGGAAAATGGATTATTCTGCCATCTTTGGTTTTTAAAACAGCATTGTTCACTGTTATTATTATTATTAAATCGGCGCCTTCAACTGCAACTCAAAGTAAAATTGCATGCGTTTTCGGCGACAGAACTGAGATACTGCTCCAGTGGTATGTATGGTGGTGGCAACAAAAAAAAAATCAAAAAAATCAACAACAAAAAATCAAAATCTTTTTTTTTTTTTTTTAAATTAAAAAAAAACAAAAAACAAAAAAAAAAAACATGGCGTCCGAATACTCGAGTATTCGCTTGTAAGCATGGGAGTGTACTCGGGTACCTCATTACACTGTTGTGCACAGCCTTAGAGAACAATATAGATTAGATAGCTGAGTCATCCGCATTAACCATTCTCTCCATATGCATTGTTCTGTCAATAGCCATTAGGCAGAACTGTTGAATGATAAAACATTCTACCAGACTTCTTGTCAGCTGGGATAGACGTTACCAGATGAGAATCCTCTTAACATACCAAGTGGCATTAGAAGGCATCAGCAGTATTCTATCAGTGATTTGGATTTTAGTCACAGCCCAAGACTATCACCATCAGTTTCATGATCACTCTGAAATCAATACAAAAGTTAACTTCGGAGCCCCATTTCACAAAACTTGTCAACAGTGAAAAATGTTATAAGCTAGTAAAATCCTTGCTTCTGATTGGTTATCAGCAGATTTGTCACTGATTTTTGTCATTTGTCATTAAAAAAAAGGCATTGTGAAGCGGATCCCAGGACCCTTTTTTTTTCCTTACCATATTTCAGGAAACAAGCAGTGCATGCCCTCCATTTGTAAAGATTGAGAACACAGAGCCAGAACTTGCCCCAAGATGGAATGCTCTCAGCACCACCTGCAATCAAAACAATTATCATTGAATAAATAACACTCCCATCTGTAGGTATGGGGAACTCTTTGAATGTCAACTTTACAGCAAAATTAGTGAATTACAGTAGTTTACAGTGACATTTATAAAAGAAAAGTGTAAAAATGACCACATATTATAGGATATTTCACTGCAAGCAGTCAACAATTATTCCTCCATGCAATTCACACTTCGAAACTTTTCACCAGAAGCTTCTTACTGTAAGTGCTGTCAAATTTTGTGAATACAGTGAATACACACTTTATCCAAATTTGGTATAAATTGCTTCCATCATACATTCGTTTCAAGATATCTGTTGGTAGTTTTTAACATTTTTATGACCCTGTGACCTTTGATTTCCAAAATCTAATCAGTTCATTCTTGTCTACTTAGTTTGGTTTCAAACATTAACAAGGGAAACGCTCTCGGCGGTCTCGCCTGCATAACGCAATTCAATATGATAAACCAGAACGTCAATGACGTAGCGCTCATCCGCATCTCGCAACAACAAATATCGTAAATTTTATGTGGTACACTTTTGAACTGGTCAAAAAATAAAAATTTGATACCCTGGAAGGGACATAATTTCATTTCATTTGCATAAAGTACCATAAATAATCAATGGAGCAGAATCTCACAATTCTGTGTAGAAGTTTAGTGTTCCAAATTTAGCTCTGCCAGATAGGCAAACCAAATCAAAATCGGTCAAGAAATGAGGGAAAAGTAGCAATTTTTGTTATTTTTGGAATAAATTTGCATAAATTACCATAATTAATTAATGGAGAACAATTTCAAAATTCTGTGTAGGAATTTTAAAATCCCCCTCCTAGCCCTATCATATGAAACAATCAGAATCAAAATCGGTTGAAAAAAAACGAAGAAGAAGCATTTTGAAAATCTTGATGTTGATGCCACAACAAAGTCTAAGTTTGTTGACCTTAAATCACCTTTGACCTTAACTTAGTGACCTGAAATTCTACTCACAAGATTGGGAAGACTTGATAACCCTATAGTCCAAGTTTCATTGACTAAGAACTTATACTTTCAAAATTATATCAAAAATTCAAAAACTTAACCTTAGGTTAAGTTTTCCATGACGATGCTACAACATAGTCCAAGTCTGTTGACCTGAAATGACCTTTGACCTTGACTTTGTGATCTGAAATTCTACTCACATGATTGGGGATACTTGATTACCCTATAGTCAAATTTTCTTAGACTAAGAACTTATACTTTAAAAATTACATCAAAAACTCAAAAACTTAACCTTAGGTTAAGTTTTTGATGTTGACGCCGCCGCCGCCGCCGCCGTCACCGGAAAAGCGGTGCCTATGTCTCGCTTTTTGCTACGCAGGCGAGACAAAAACTCCCTCATTATTGGTTCGATTTATTTCTAACTTCTGCCATTCTGTTTCTCTTAGTTTTCCGTTTTCATACAAATGAACTTATCACAAGGGTAGGATTGCCAGGAGGGATTAGATCTCCCTGCATGGTCACTGACAGGTGGTTATCTCATCAAATCAGCTCTCAATTAACATAAGAAAAAGGGGATCATGGGAGATCAACGGGCACCGCTTACGCATTGTTGGCTATGTAGGGGGCGCAAGTAGCTACAAGTAGTGCAGTCCTGCTTTAAGGAAATAGTTCAAGGTTTTAATTTCTTTACATCCTCTCCAGTTGTTCCTCATTAATTATTTATAATGGAGATTCTTCAATGTTCCACATGGTGGGGAAATACTGAAGTTATGACCATTCACACAGGCAAATTAAGGGGGCAAAATTCCCCCCCCCCCCACCCACCCCTACCCCACTGATATTCCCATTAGTATAATGAAACTAGACCAGACCTGCCAACCTCTGCAGTTCAAAAAATATATTCTTTAATCCAAAAGTTGTATTTTGAAAATAAACACAGACTGTTACGCGGATCAATGCCTCTTACAGTTTCTACCTTACCTAAAGAAAGAATTTTGTTTATGGATCATTGGTTAAATATGCATGATTTTGTCACGACTGGTGTGTTCCATGAACTAATAAACATCCCCAAATTGCCGATGTGAGATGTTTGTAGGATACTTTACAGGACAGAATGGGCATTTGCCATTGAAAATGGCACACATACACAAAATAAAATTTAAAAAAATTGTTTTTTGTTTTTGTTTTGTTTTGTTTTGTTTTGTTTTGTTTTTTGTTTTTTTGTTTTTTTTGGGGGGGGGGGGGGGGGAATCGTACTGTCGAATTTGCTTCTAAAAAAAGTATGATATACAACTAAATCGTACTGGTTGGCAGGTCTGCTAGACCCAACCAATAATATGAGGCAATGTTTGCTATGAAGGTCAGCCTTGTCTTTCTACAAATAGTATATCTTGTGAAGGCTTGCCTGCTTACCCATCTCTAGAAGAAGTTTCCTTGCTTTCTTGAGATCCTCATCATCCTTTGAGACACCCAGTAGTCTCATCGTCACGTAGTTCATTGCTGTGCCAAACACAGTAGCATGATCCTCAATGTGTCTAAGAATTCAAAATGAAATACAGTGAAACCTGTTTATAAAGATCACTCAAATGAAACATGAAAAGTGGTCTTTATAGGCAGGTAGACCTTATGTACAGGTTTAAAGATGAAGTTGAGTTCTGGTCATGCGATTGCATTGTGAAAGAAACAAAGTGGAATCAATCAGAAAAGGTTGATCATCTAGCATATAAGTATTGGTGTGTACTGCAAGGTTCTAGAATCTAAGAATTCTAGAATTCTAGAATTCTAAAATGATAAGAAATTTGGCCCAGTCTTGGAAAAGTTACAAGCACTGTATGTATATAGGACTACATGAACATGGGGCATAAAAATCTGTCCTGATTGTTATGCTGTTACATGCCATATTTAGAATATTAAGGCGGTGTGATAGTCTACATGAAGAAGGGATGATAAACTTACATATAAGTGAGTTGATTGATTAACTAATTAATCATCTTTTAAACTTAATACCAGCTTTTATTTGTTTACTCTCATATTGAAAATCTAGATCAGTTGAGGTACCTTCAGAAGAAATTTGATCACTATACTTTCTGGACTTCCTCTGCACAGAACAATGGCTTGGTATAATGGAGAAATGAATATTTGGTAAACTTACAAGCCCCAGCCGCCATCAGGGCACTGAACTGATCGAAGGTAACGCACCATCTCCTTCTTGGACGCATCAGGGAGGACTACACCGGTTATGAAACACACGATGACTAAACCTGTAGCGTAAGATAGAAAATGAAAACATGTCTTTGCTTCAATCTATGCACGGTTGTAATATGATACACTGTTAACATCACAGAACTATCACTACTGAAGGGCTTACTTAGAACCATCGGGTCACTGCGTAAGAAACCTTACCCGCCCTTTTTAGAAAACATGCAAAATATGGGGATTAATGTCTTGTGAAATAAACCCCTCTTGCTTTCTCTTTGTGAAAATACTTTACCATCCTGTCATAGTTTCTTTCATAACTATTTCATTACTGGTAATCATTTCTAAAACTTGCTAGCATGTACACCAATATCTTGTTGAAGTATCATTCAAAGGGGACATATTTTACATATTTTCGTGGCAAAAATCAACATTGACTACATGTATTTATATTTTTATATTACTCAGAAATGGAGAACCCCTACTTAAAATACACAGTTTATAATTAAATTATTCATACCCTTACCAACTTTTGTAAATGTTAAAGTATGCGAAAAATTGATATGTCCCAATTTCCCTTTCTTAAGAAGGTGGCGTATTAAAGCTTACATCTAATACAGAGCTGCAAACCTTGTGCGACCAATAAAAGGAATTAAAGCAAAAAAAGGAATTCATTTAAAACAAAACTTACGACCACGCGCGAGACACTTCCAATGCAGGAATCTCCATTCCTCATGCAGTTTTTTCTCATATTAGGACGTTTCATTCTTTTTGAGGATATTTTTCTCTTCTAGTATGTTTTAACCTTTCTATTGAATTTGTGATCAAATCAACATTTTAGGGCAGTTGTTTGACGTGCAGTATGTAAGAAAAAAAGAAAAGAAAAAAAAAAAAAAAAAGAGAAAAATTCCAGGAAAAACGTAATGGTTGGCAGCTCTGCCAATAGTATTCAAGGCCGGCCATAATTCAACCAGTGAAGGATGAAAAATACAAAGAACATCAAATTTACAAGGGGTATGTATAATTCTGTCGTTAACTGTATGAATACCTGGTAGAAGAAAGAGTGGACCACCGTAATCGCCCGCCCAATGACCATCTTCTGTTTGTAGCTTGGAGTAAAACTTCATACCATTCTTAGCAGCTTCTTCAGCAGTCTTAGCTCTGGGTAGTGGTGGGGCTTCATCATCCTATGTTTCAAACACAAAATATGTTATGTAATATGAATACAAGGCTTTATCATCCTATGTTTTAAACACAAAATACATTATGTAATATTCATATTCATATTTAGAAAGTTAAACAAAGATATTACATTTGATTTCATACATAATTCATTTTTTCAAGAAACTATACAAATAAACTTTGCACAAAATAAAATAATTACAAGAATTTCTTAATTTCTGAGGAAATGGGGGGTGGGGGGATCCACTAAAAAGCAGTGCTTGTAGTTTGTGGATCCCCCAGAAAAGAAAAAAAATACAAATGTTTCAAGTTTTGCCTACAAAGACTTAGAAAACACAAGACAATATTTCAAAACAACATACAATTTACAAACACGAAACGAACAAGGAGAAGTAAAACAGATAAGAAGGAAAAGGGAAAAGGGGGAAGGATGAAGAAGCAGGACAAATCATGACCGGAAAAAAAGTAACTTATAATGATAATTTTGGGAAGGTAAGATCATAAGACCAAATAAATATTAAATTAATTGAGCAGATGATGAAGACCTTAATGAAAAATTAAGATGATTACCAACTGTTATAAGATTGTTCTTGTATATTAATATAAGATTTGAGCAAAAATGTTTTTAGATTTTTCTTGAAGGAATTTAGGGATAAGAGTCCTGAATATGAATATAAGAGTCCTCAATTCAATCAGCCATTTTCGTAATGTAATCAAATTTAAAGCGCAAATCTTTGTTAAAAGTGCCTTATTACAACTAAGTTCTTTCACATTTTACAAATAATTGTATTTCAACAGTCAGAATGCGAAATGCATGTATACATTAATTATTGATGGGTTTATTTCTATTACTACACTGTCTACATGTACTTGTAGATGGCTATATAACTCTGTCTTACAAAAAAAAAGCCTTATTGTTTAATTTAAATATCACCTCATGAAATTCCAAATATAATGGGATAACAAAACAATTTCTGATCTAGTAAGGACTGATATACATGTATATCTGCAATAAAAACAAACAATAATACAAAACCTTACGATGTCTAGGCCAAGGGAGAACTTTTCAACAAAATTTTGAGGCCGTCCAGGTTCTTCCCCTTCTGGGTAGTATTGCCAAGTTTGACGACCGTTCGTATTAGTGAGCCGCCATCTTGACAGATCAGTGGCAGGTGTAGTCTTGTATGGACCTCCTCGATTCTTCTTTTCAGACATGACTGGCTCTGTATTGGGTAAAAGATAAAGAGGAAAAACTATTCATTAATCACAATTCTTCACAAATGCTAAAGCAATGACCTTGAGTGACCCCTACACGACCATCGACCTACAATTGTTGAGGAGGTGTAAAGATCCTGTATCCAAGGATAACTTCATCCAAATTGTATCCATCATACAGGTAGGCGACGCTAAACTAAAGTCAATTCACTTTAATTTGTAATAATCTAATGACCCTTTGACATATGGAATCAGGACCCAGTTTCATAAACCTTTTTATCAATGAAACATGTTACAATAACTGTTATGAGGTACCGGTACTGAAACTGTGGCCTCTAATTGGCTGAAAGCTAATTTGTCATAGAATATTAGCATAAATTTGTTATTGATAAAAAATATTATGAAACAGGAAAATTGTGTCTTATTTCTCAAGGGTAAGGTTCTCAAGCTGCTATACCGATCATTAAAACAGAGTAAATAGCGACAGGGTAATTTTTTGTTGAATGCAATAATGCAGACCCATTTCAATCATTTAAGTAAATCACAACATACCTATAGCTGCCCGTATATAACTTACACTGGGTAACTCATATGTGTACAAGTAATGTTAGAACTCCACACATGACTTACATACACTGAGTAAACAGTCTGTTACATAATGTATTAAATTTTCCATTTTTTCCCCCTAATGAACTTCTTGCTATATCAGTGGGGTTAATTGGGACATTGTACAATGCACCCATAGTACTGTCATTACCAGGCACCTCAAGAACTTTGACTCCCTTTTCAGCATAGTTGGGCAAACAAAATTTGATAAGTTATTTGATGATATCATCCAAAGATAATCTAGACATGTTTGCATATGCTGTAATCAATCAAATACTTTTCACTAAATAGGGGCATTGAGGAATAATGAACAACTTAAATTCATTTGTCCCAATTTATGTTTCTTGCAAATGTGACATATTAAAGCTCACATCTAAAAGTATTCATCAAAGACCCAGGGTTCTTGTTAATAGCCGGCAACCGGCTATTTTTTCCGGCTGTAACGGCAATCGTAGCCGGCTGTAAGCCTCTCCAAAAAAAAAAAATAATAATACAAAAATCACATCATATTCGGTCAAGTCGCTATCTCAAATTTCTGTTATCACAAGCTTCACGAAGACACGCTTTCATAGCGCGGGGTTGTGAAAACGGTCGTAAAGAAATGAGATGAAACGTCTCCGAAACGATCGTAAAATAAAACCTTATTAAAATATGGACTTGCGGTGCGGCGCACGCGGGGGCAGAGCTATCTAGTATATGCCCAGTGCGCCAGAGCCAAGCGCAGGCCGGCAAGCTAGCTTACGCAAGAAAAGCGCGCGTTGTGAGCCGAGCTGAGCTAGCTGAGTGAATTTATCTCCGAGATCGCACGCCAGTCGAATTAAAATGGAATCGAAACGGCAGACATCGATGTCTTCCTTCCTTACTACAGGGTTTTAAAAATTCCATGACTTTCCATGACTTTCCAGAGCAGGATAATGTAAATTTCCATGACCATTTTCAATGATGAACATGTCTTAATCTAAAGCGTACAACTATACATCATCGCAATACTAGGAAGCAAATTACAAAACTGTAAGGCGCACCCCTATTTCGAAGATAAAAAAAAAGAAATCTAAAAAAAAATCTGAAAAAAAATCTGGAAAAAAACAACAACATTGTTACTAGACCTAGGTCTAACTTAGTTCACAAGCACTTCAACTGTGCCTTGTATAATGAAAAGTAAAAATATTTTTCGAACACTGAAATAAGACGTGATCTGATCTGGTTAACAAAAAGCCACCAAAAAAAAGCCAACATTGGTCATTTTGTTAACATCAGATCGGCTCTTATTTTAGTGACAGCGTTCGAAAATACTTTCATTTTATTACGAGGCACAGTTGAAGTGCTTGTGAACTAAGTTAGACCCATTTAACAATGTTGTTTTTAAAACTAAAGATGACAGAATTTTCCTCAAAAAAAATGTGGACAGGCTAGTTTTCACGTGGTGATTCGTTATCCCCTGTGTAAGTGAGCTTACATCATACAGGTGAGTGAGCTGGAGACACGGGAGAGCTTCGGCCGGCAAAGTCCTTGTGACAGGGCATAATTTATCGAGACTGAAGAAAAAAAACTGGAAAAAAAAACTCTCTTCCTTTCAAATTTGGAACGTAGTTTAACTTCAAATAGTAGATCCTATTCTTTATTTGCATTATGTAATTCATGTTGAGACACAGAGATTTTTGAAACCACTAAAAAGTAGCATTTGAGGACTCAAATATCCTGTACCTGACTATATAAGGCCCATCCCCGACTTTGGATATTTTGCTGAGGGAAAAAAAAGTGGTGCCTTCATTGCGGACGTTGGGGAAAGCACCAACCACGAGGCTAGGCTAGCTAACTACTGGCTGTATGCTCGCGCTCGCACAATGGACGCCAAATGTATATCAAATGCGATTCAGGGTTGCGATATTCGAGTAAAGAGCAACACAATTTTTAAAGGGGTTCTTAAGAAAACACGAGTGGCTCATGATACATAGTTATTTACATTTAAATTATTGTTTCATGAATATTCTGTGGTAAAACCCCAGGGTAAAACACCTTCATTCAAACTTTTAATCAAAATCAAAGCACAAGCTCGATCAAAAAGTAATCGTACAGCGTGCATGCAGCATTCTTGTATGTACACACACCGGCACCACGCACACCTGTCACTGCAAGTCATTCACGCGCACAAACATCTTGCATACAGTATGAAAGACACAATAGACACGGTACCAGTAGGTCCTAAAGATATTGCGTGTTACGAAAAAGGTCCTGTGAACCACAGATTTTACCAAATGTTTTTTCCTTTGTTCACAAGACAAATTAAATGCCATTTTAACAAACATCTTGAAGAAAAAAAGATTTTCCCTGACTTTCCAGAAGAAATGGATGAATTCCCTGACTTTCCCTGACTTTTTACTTCTGGAAAAAACATTTTTAAATTCCCTGACTTTCCAGAAATTCCCTGACCCGTACGAACCCTGTTACTATTAAGAGTAAGAAGCAACGTACAGGTAAGTTTTTTATTTGAAATGTAAATAATAATGTAGGCTAAATTATAAATAATACCGGTAGTAATAATGAGTGTGAAACTGTGATTGATTTGGCGATGCACGATTCGATAACGTATTCGTAACACCCCCAGACCCCTGTGACAGCTGTCACATACCTGCAAACCATTTACCAATCCAATTTTGTCATATTTTTTTTTATGTGTGTTCCAATTTTTTAAATTTTTTATCGCAAACGATTTTCTTCACTGACAAGGTCCTGTAAACGTCAGTTAACCGTTTTTGCCCAGGACTACCTTGTATCATTATCATGTAATTCAAAATTGTAGATTCATCACAAATATGATTGATTTATCAGAAACAATAATGGAGCATTTTCATTTCATATTGTATATCATATGAAAAGTAAGTTATTCAGCCAAAATATTCATGATCTTTATCATTAAACTATGGCTCATACAGTGTGGTCATATCTTCAAAAATAAGGCTAAGATAGCACCAGAGAGCATCTAAAACCCTAAAGCTTCCAGGGCCCTTGGGCGGGCCCTGGACCCCGGCCGCAAGGGACTTCGCGCTTCGCGCTCGTGATGTGCGCTACGCGCACAGAGATTTTTCTTTTGCAATTTTAGTAGCCTCCTGTAAATCATAAATAGCCTGCTATCAGAAAAATTAACAAGAACCCTGAGACCCTCATTCAACCAGTCCATCTTTCATTCTTGAGTAATGACAAACACCCCCCCCTCCAAAAAAAAAAAAAAAAAAAAAAAAATGTTATAGTCATTTTGTATGTTGGAATAAATCAGAAAGTTGTCCGCAACTACATCACAGAGACGTTTCCGATTAAGCCAATTTGATGAGCCCATACCTTAGTGATTATAACTTTAAAATATTAATAACTAATTTCTCCTTTTAATTTGGTTTGATTTCGTTCAAAATTTCACCAGTCTACTTCTCTGATTTTTCTGCTTTCCAATACTTTGGAGTACATTGCTATGAAGGGAGCACGCACGGAGTTTGCTGAATTTAGCAAACTTCCTGCGCGCTCACCCTTTTAACAGTAACTCACTGCTATTTTCGTAAAGTAATTATCAAATTGGCAACGCAGAAACATTTTTTATTTTTTTGTGTAGATCTGCATGCACTGGGTGTATTTGCATTTCAGGCAGAATCAACATCTCAAACTCTACAAAAGAGGTCAGCGTATTAGAAACTGTAAATCGCATGTTATAGCTCGTCATCAGGAACACATAAATTATAAGCGAATCACTCGATCAATCTTCACATTAAAAAAAAAATCTTGACCAATTCCACAGTGCTTTGTACGAGAAGAAAGACTATCCAACTCCGACTCCGAGGCCGAGGCTGCAGTGTGCAACTGCAAGGTTTGTTGGGTGCAGAAGGGCGATTAAAAACGCATTTTGATTTAATTTTGGCCCTTAATTTTTCAACCTTTGGCCTTAAGTCTGGGTTTTAACTTTTACTCGCCAGCTTCAGCATGAGCGAGCGATGTGTAGGTCTATAGACTAGAGTCTAGTCTATATTTATCATAATTATCTAGATCTACAGTTATGATTCAAGGGTGTTGGGGGTGTGGGGGTGTGGGGGTGTGGGGGTGTGGGGGTGTTGGGGTGCGTAGGGTCACTAGTTTTATTATTTAAAATAAAAGTCAAAAGCCATGGCCATGATTGGCATGAAAAGGTGAACTGAAAAGCATCTAGACGAATTAGAATGATTAGGGGTCTAGACTATAGATCTAGGCCTAGAGAAGTCTACTTAGATTAGACCCTATACTTTTATACTATTATAGGCACCAAGGAGCTAGAAAATATAATAGACTCTAGGAGCAATGTATACCACGAATATCAGATATCTAGATCTATATGGTTAGCAACGTACCTTTTAAATTTTCTTGAAGATGTAAACTGTACACTCGCTTGAGTTACACTTTACAGTTCAAATAGCCTGACCAGACTCGACCTTGCCAGCAGATACACGAGCGATATGCATACAGAACAGCTGTAGATCTAGCTACGTACGGTACTAGCACTGTGTTAGTTCAATATGATATGACCACACACAAGATAGCTTTCGGTCCAATCCCTGGATCCACCGCCGCGGTGCGCTTGCGCTAGCGGTCCCCGCATATCGTACCATATCAACGAACTCGATGTACCATATCCATCGGAACACTTTTGCCAAATTGCTCTTGCGCCCTCTGTAGGGATATGCTCGTGCAGATTACTGTCTTGTTTTTATGTAGGCTATTTTTTGCCAGAGGAAATGTATCATCAGGAACATCTTCCTGGTATCAGTGAACCTTTAACTCCTTGCCGAGACTGATCGTTTTCATTTCATGACATTTTAACGACATTATCTTGTTACATGTATTTTGTGATTCTTGTCAATTTATTTGTAATTTTTCGTTTTTTGGTTTTGTATAATTTTCAAAATGTTATGTGTTGAACTACTTTTATTTGCAAAACAAAATTTGTTAACCTGTTCAGGCGCGGATCCAGGATTTTCCAATAAGGGGGGGGGGGGGGGGGGGGGGCTAAACATGTATATTTTTTTAATGGCCTAACAGAAGCGGATCTAGAGGGGGGGTTGGGGGGGTTGCAACCCCCCAAAAAAAAAATCCGGGGACCATTTTTTTAAAATCTTATCTTTTTTTTTAAACTTGTAATTTTATTTTATTTTATTTCTATGTATTTATTTCATTTATTATTATTATTATTATTATTATTATTATTATTATTATTATTATTATTTCTTTTTGGGGGGAGGGGGGGGGGGTTGGGCGAACAAATGTCACAGAGTCCCTTGCCCCCCCCCCCCATCAGCTTTTTTGAAGACACGGGCCACCGCCGAAGTGACAAGCTAGGCCAGCGTTGCCGATTCTCATCCCCAAAATCCCCACATTAAAAAAAAAAAAAAAAAAAAAAAAAGGGAAAAAAAAAAGAAAAAAAAAGAAAAAAAAGAAAGAAAAAAGAACGCACGCTGGAGAGAAACCCTTTCAAGTGCAAATATTGTGAGAAGATATTCAACTCATCTGGTAACTTAACCAAACACATGATAACTCTGGATATAACTGTGTATTTAACTGTTACTTGATTTAAAAAGACGTTATCATGCACTGCTTTTTATGGTCTCCATTGTGTTAATAGATGCCAGGAAAACATCACTTACGGGGTTCAAATAAACACCCAAAAAAAATCGGCTCGCCGCTTCGCGGCTCGTGGACGATGCTCCGCATCGTCATTATTGGTCAACCCCCCCCCTGAGCAAAAAGCTAAATCCGCCCCTGCCTATAAACTGCGCTCTGGGTACAGGCAGGAATAACCGCCGGTCTGGAGTAAACTGGAATATATCGCCCTTTTGCGGCGGTCGTTAGCAGTGGAGCCAGACATAGTCTTACTCTTAGTAACTCAGTAGAAATATACCACCAGGATTTGAGACTATAGCTGCTCATCATAACAGTCCAGATCGGACAGGACACACACACACATTTGTCAAGGACATTTGCATGATCTAACGTCAACTTTCTTTTGAGGAGGGGGGAGCAACATGAAAGCACTTATTTATGGGGAAAAAAAGGGTACCAAACTCTAAGCGAAAAAATACATTTTTGATATTGGTTTACAGCAGGCGCGTACGCAAGAGGGGGGGGGGGGGGGGTTGGGGATTGAACCCCACCCCCCCTTCAGTATTTTCTATGTGTATTTTTTAGCAAACCCCCCCCCCCCCTTTTTTTGTTTTTTGTTTTTGTTTTTAAATTATGGCAATGACTGACCTAAAAAAGGTGACCTTACCCACCCCCAACGGAGCAAATGTCAAATTTTCAAATTTCGAAATCCAAAAAAAAGTGTCCTCTTACCCCCCCCCCTCCCCCTTATTCAGCGGCTAGCTGGCTGAGTCATTGCGAAATTTTTGGCCCAATTTAAAAATGTTAAACCCCCCCCCCCCCCTTGAAAAAATCCTCTTCCCTCTTCCCCTCATGGCTATGCCAATCACATTTATCTATTTCCCGACTATGATACTTCCGACTGAAATTAAAGTTTTGTTTTCTCTTCATTTAATTCAGAGCTTGTATTAGGCGAGCCAGCCCCCCCCCCCCCCCCCCTCCATGTCTAAACCAACCACATTTCCTTACACTTTCTCAACAATGATATGTTCGACTAAAATTTGTTTTTAATTCTCTTGTATTAGGCGAGCCCCTTCCCCTGTGGCTATGTGAATCACATTTCCCTACTCTTTCTCGACTATGAAACATCAGACTGAAATTAAAATGGCTACACCATGAATGTGACATTTTAAAGCTTACATCTAAAAGTATTCCACAAAGGACCTTATTCAACCAATCCACCTTTCCATTCATTCTTGAGTTATGAAAAACGTATCTATCCCAACATCGTATAAACGATGTTCACACAGGAAATTTTTTTTATAAACAACTGCTGAGTTAAACACGTTTATACTAATCATCTCTAGAAACGATGAATTTCAGCTCTGTGTGAAAAGGCTGCTAAAGTACTTCTCTTCTCCTTTCTTTTTTTTTGTCTCTTTTTTTTTTGCGCCGCCAATAGGGGGGGGGGGGCCGCGGCCGTTTCGGCCCCCCCCCCCCTGGATCCGCCACTGCTGTTGACTAATGAATTCTCACATTCTCATAGGTTTAATACAGGGGCCACTTTGCTCCAGTGGGCAATGGGTGAAGTCAAATAATAGTATTGTTCATGTTTTCTATTTACATTCATAATTAACACCAGTTTAATTTACAAATGCCTCAGTTCATGCCATTTTATCCGGCCGATCATTCAATTTTTTCCCCCATGATTAGCTTGTCATTGTCCATTGATAATAAATCATTAATGCTATTCATTCATGCATTAATTCTTTCTTGATTCCTCCTTTCATGTTGCCACTTTTATTCTCTCGGTTGGTTATCGGTTCATATTTTCATTCTTTTGGTTAATTGGTCACCCATTCATACTTTCATTCGTAATTCATCCATTATCCAGCTCAGTCAATCCAACCTTTCATTATGCTGCCAATTAATACCACTAAATATCACAGATGACATGAAAAGTCTTTCAAATTTATTTCATCTTTATATCCTTTTCCTTCAAATTTATTTCATCTTTGTATCCTTTTCCTTCAAGTTTATTTCTCAGTACTGGAGATTTCCAGTTATGTATTTCCTTTATTTTCTAAAGTTTACAATTTCATTGCATTTTTGATCATATATATATATTGACACATATACATATGTAAACATATTATATAAATTGTGAAATATATACAAATATATACAACTAAATACTTGATGGTGTGAGAAATCGAGATATTGAAGAATATATTGTTGTTCTAGCTGGATGAGATTGTGTGGGTGTGTGTGTGTGAGAGAGATATTTATAGAGAGAGATATATATAATTTATATATAAATATATATATATAGAGAGAGAGAGAGAGAGAGAGAGAGAGAGAGAGATAGATAAAGAAAGAGAAAGATATATATATTCATTTATCCCATTTACCCCAACTACTAGCTAAATTGCAGCCACAGCCTCTCTCTGAGAGTACAATGAGAGAAGGCAGTAGAAGTATCAACCATCCGGTACGACGGTACGACGGTGTAGCTGTAACGGAAACAACCGAGTATATATATATATGTCTGAAGATCCAATGGAAAACTTCGCAGAGACACTTCAAATAAGCCTACAACCTCAGCAGATATGAGCAGAATAGTTAGCAATTTAGAGCAGATCCTTCAGGTCGGACTTCGGTAATTTAGTGGGATTAAGAAACCAAAGCTCAGACGATGACATTGAGGAAGATGACCAAGACAACTGTTGTGTCTGTCATCTGAGAGTACATCCCTCCATCCATTGACTGATATACACTTTACATTGTTTTTTGGGCCAAGTGTGGCAAGCTTAGACTAAGGTAGTGCATGCACCCCCTGGACGTCATCTATATGATTAGAAAAATAATATTATAACCTTGAAGTCTTTGGTAGATAAAGCATTGAAACATTACTTTTTATATACACATGTATAAACATGTATAAATATAAATATTTGAAAGACTTATAACGAAAGAAAATGCAGCTGCACCATAAAATATATATACAAGAACAATGAGTGGAAATTAATTAACAGTATTTTGCAACCTGTTGCAAGTCACGGCACCCTTAAAAGAAATATATAGTTTTGCGTCACCTCAATCCCAACTTCATAAAGAATTATTTTGCATCACTCTGGCACTCATCAAGTGCCATTTACACATGTACGGGCACATTTATCACATGTGTTATAAAATACAGAAATGTAAAAAAGCAGCCACAATTTTTCTGTTTTGTCACTTGGTCCATTACCGTTTGGTCTGATTACCATTTCGTCCTATAATTTTCAAGTCACATACTCAATTCACATCATTTTTGTTACCACTTGGTCTATGATGATTTGGTCTACTTCCAATGATTGGACGGAGTGCCGGTAATAAGACCAAATGGTATAGGACCAAGTGGCAAAAAAAAATTGCTATTTGGTCTATTGGACGGAATGTAGATTGGAGCACCTGGGTATAAACCAAATGTTGACAAACTGAGTATATATATATATAGACCAAAATGAAGTTAGACGATCTGGATATTGGGCCTAATGGCAATAAACCCTGGAGGTCAGCTTTATCCGCAAGCTCCAGGTGATTACATGACTTTCTAAGCTTTTAAAATGATATCACCAAATAGGCACACATTCACATAGTAACACATTAATTAACATATAGCATGTTACAGAGGAGTTTTTAGGCACTGCACATGATACAGGAACCAATAAAATCAAACAATTGCTGTTTAGGCTTATGCTGATTGGGTCTACATCTCCACTTCTGATAATAAAGAACTGCCTCTTAAAAATCTCAAAATTTGAAAATACCACAAACATCTATTTTATTGCTTTAGCTCAAACCAAAGTGCTACCCTGTGAATCTTGCCAAATATAATTGTGTCATTCTGATTGGCTATTGTTAATCATTAAAGCCATGTAGGTTAAGACTGTTCATGGCATTACCAGCAAGAGCGAGGTCCACTGAATGATCTCTGCTAGAGCTAGGATGCCTGTGGTTGGTCAATAGTGGTTTGACCTTTGACCTGGGATGATGGCCGCTGCCCACGCCGTTCGATGAAGGTGATTTGGAAGATCCGATGAGTTGTCCACTGGTTGAACCCAGGAAGAGGCTTTCTGCACTCTGCAAAATTCAATGTATTACATTCGGAAGGTGTTTAAAATGAATATGTTAAAAGGTTCATAATAGTTTTAAATATGTCTCAGTTTTCTGCTTTATTTCTTCATTAAAATCAGCTTAAAAGCCCGTCTGCACTAATTTGGCCAGAAGGAATTGAACCTACCGGCAAGGTCACTGACAGATGGTAATCTCATCAAATCAGCTCTCAATTTACATAAGAGGAAGGGGACCATGGAGGATTAACGGGCGAATTGTTGGCTATATAGAGAGGGCACAAGTATAGCTACAAGTAGTGCAGTCCCGCTTTAAAATGAATATGTTAAAGGTCCAACAAAAGTTATAAATATGTATTTTTCTGCATTATTTCTTCATTAACATCAGCTTTAATATCATATACAAAGATTAGGAATACATATACCTGTTGCAATTTAGAACTGTTAAAAAAAAATAGTAGAAAAAACACATTAAAAAGATCAAAATCACCATTCTTAAAATAAATGGAAAGTAACTTTAGACCCATTTTAAGATTGAAAATGAAACAACATTTATAGTCTGAGTTATAAAATTCTCTCTTCAAAAATGCATGTTTCCAAAAATTCTCACAAACAACTGTTTGCATCCTAAACCTGAGTAAGCCAACTTAAAAAGGGAATTACAATGAAACTTGTCTATAAAGACCACCCAAGGGAGACAAGAAAAGTGGTCTTTTTAGGCAATAGGCAGGTGGTCTTTATGTACAGGTTCCTTTAGTACATGTTTCAATGAGAAACTAATTTTCAAGGGAAACAAAACATGTGGTCTCTGTAGACAGGTGGTCTTTGTAGACAGGTAGTCACTAAAGCAGGTTTGACTGATTAAGGGAGATGTGGCATTTTACCCCATCTTTTCAAAAATGACCTCTGTCATTTTTTACCGCTGATAATTTTACAAAGAACTGGATATAAATCAAGGAGTTTAATTACCTGTGGCTTATTGTCTGGCTGGAGGTGTGACCGTTCTCTGGACGAAGATCGATTCCTGCCGATACCGAGACTCCTGGCTCTTCTTCTATTCACCTCTGCAGTTTTCTGCCCTAATCGTCCCCTCTCTCTGACACTTTCATGGGGCGAGCTAACACCATTTTCTACTGGAAGCCTAGGGATTGAGAGAGGTGATGCATTGCTGCTGCCATGATGACCCCCAACAGGGGTCATATTAGCCTCTTCCCTTTGCAGGGGAATGGAAGAAACATGAGTTCTATTTCTGTCTAAGGTCAGAGGTCTGGCGGGTGGCCTGTGTCTGATGACCACGCCCTTCTGATTGGTTGGTCCTGCATTGAAGTCACCTGTATTAACAATCCTTTGGGAAGATGGCTGGTAACTTGACGGTGAGCTGGAGTCAATAGTGTCTTCATGTGAATGCAGTCTCTGCAGAAGAGCAGAGTCGGTTGGATCAGAGTGTTGTGATGGAAGCCCTCTATGCCGATCGGGAGTTGACCTTCAAGATATAATTAAGAGACTTTCAGATAGACCTTACTTTATTTGCAGAACCCAAGTGGGCTAAAAGTAAATCCATAGTATAATAAGGGTCTTGTTGTGCTTATAACTAAAAACATTATGCTCTGACTGCTTACATATGACATATTCATGTATTCATAATATAGAGTGTCTCCCAAAACGTTTTTCACTGATACTTTGTTTTAAAAATATATATATATATATATATATTTACATGCTGCTTATAATTGGCTTGCATGGTGATGTAGATATACAGTAGGCTTATACGGTTGCACCCCATGAGAGAGAGGGGGAGACCGATCGGGAAGTCCTGAAAAGGACTGTAGGTAATCTTGCAAAAAGACCAATGGTAATCTTTCTTGAGCTTATAGTTCTACGGAGAACTATATAGTGCCGGTTGGAGAGGATGGGAAGTGGCCCGACGTTTCGAACAGGTTGACTATCCGCCGTCTATCCGTCAATCAATCCTCCCCCTCTCTCTCACATGGTGCAACCGTAAGCCTACTGTATATATATATATATATATATATAAAAAGGTTGAGTTAATTGTGTGTACCTGTTTGGTAGGATGGGCTTTGATATAAAGGAGGAGCCTGTTAGCTGAAAGTCTGCTGTCAGTCCAATGTCTGTAGGATTCCTGTCCTGACCATGCCCAGGCCTGCCTTTCTGTCTTCCAGCTGCATCTCTCCCTTGGAGTCTGACCACTCCTGCACCAGGACCTATCTGTAGGCCTAGGCTGGGAACCTCTCCTTGTGTCCCATCCTCGTTTCCCTGGTTGGCTTTCTTGGTTTTCTTGCTCTGCCTGGTTTGTGCTGTGATGGGGTTCCAGACCACAGTACCATCTATAGGGCATGTTGGGTGCTCATGAAGCAACCACTGGTCTATGCATTCTGCATGGAACTGTGATTAAGATAAAACAGACAAAATATGAGAGGAAAGGGAGATCACAGGCTCTTATATCTCATTGTCTGCCCCCCCCCCTCCCCCAAATAAAAAAGAAAGAAATTACAAATATAATGAAAAAGAAATGAATACATAAATTTAAAACATAAACATGAATACATATATATATATATATATATATATACCTCCCTGAATTTACATAAATATGCCATAGTTTTTCTTTGAATAATGTGCAAAATAGCTTCAACGCTAAAGAAATTAAAGATTCATTTTATCTCCATCTGCATGGGTGTAAATTGGTAAGATTAAAATTATAAAGTATTGCACCCAATGTATTCAAGAATATTAAAAAAGGTGGACACATTTTAATAGTGATAATTATTTTTTATTAAATATGCAAATTAGCTTTGATCAAAGAGATATAAAAATTGATATTTTCATCTTCATTCCTTCATCTAAGAACCAATCTGAAACGATTTGAGTGATGTTACTTACATCTTCAAACTCACTGAAATGATGAACAAATTTTAAGATAAATTCTGCATAAAATGTAAGCATCTTTCCCCTTTTGAATACCGGTACTAAAATACACAGCTAAAATAAAGATGTATTTCATATGATTTGATGGGAAATTAATAGCATTGATAGTCAGAAATTTCGGGTGGCCATAATGTCTGTGGAAAACCTTACTTCTAGTGCTTGAAAAAGGGATCGTTTAACAATGTTAAATCTGAGATGCACGGCCCTACGTATTATCAGTGTCTATGATATGGTGTAATATTGTGCTTCAAAATGATCAAGAAGTGCCTCAAAAAAGTAAAACACCTCGGAGTAACCGGTTTTACCATACCGGTACTCGTTTTCCCCAATAGACTGTAGTGTTATGAAAACTGTTCGGCAAACGCAAAATTTGATTTCGATGTTCAATCATAATTATCTTGATAATCAGGCAGGCGATCGGCTTGTTCAAGTCATGGGGTTCCTGCATGACTGCCCTAAGGTTTATAATTATCATTGCAGCATGAGCTAAATGAAGGATTTCTTAAAAGGATCTAAGACAAAGTTACCGGATCCCTTTAATTGTAAATTATGATCACTCTTGCTTGAACTAATGTTTTTATGAATCATGTGAAATTTACAAAATATATCCATCCTGTTTGATGAACACACTCGATTGATAACAGCAATTTGTTCACTTAACTTGATTCAATCAGGTTTTTAGTAGGAGATAAAAATACTGAGATTGATATCTTCTTTATTCTATCGTAGTTTGTTTGTACCTTGTGCCTGCATGGAAGCTTTTTAACCAGTTGTCCCATGGCATAGGCTCTCAAGCACACCCTACACTGTGTGCCCAGTGATAAGAGGTTGCTACCGTCTCGCACTGTCTCTACATGGAAGGACTTCACCACATGCTCAGGGACATTGCTCATCTGGTTGGAGGCTGCACTGCAAAACAAAATAGATAGACGCAATTACACATTAATATGAGGGTATCATCATGTTCAAGCTAGCTAGCTTAAAGGGGGTGTAAACTGACGAGACTATACATCTTTTGTGTGGCCTGACTCGGGTCTAATCGGGTATATTACAACTACGAACGACTCGACAGCAGCAATCACGTGCGTGAAGCCAAAGCGTGAGGAGAACTTTGGTCGCTGACTACCATTTATCAAGTCCATTCGTTTACGTGCAGTAAAGAAGACGTAGATGGCTTTAACCAGTATTTGCCAAGCTACACAGCCTTTAGGATGGCCGTCTCCTACATTTTTCAATTTTGAAATGATTGGCAATTGATTTATATTATGATATGATTATATTTGAGTTATTTTTTAATTTTTAAAATATTATATATGTACCTATTTTATATATTATGTTTTCTCATGTTGAAAAACGCATAAATAAAATCAAACAAACAAACAAATATTGTTATATGAGGTGCTTCCCCAACCCAATGGAAAAAAATTATGAATTAATTGCATGGCTTATCTATCTGCTAATCGATTGAGGAATCTGTATTGTAGAACCTGTTTAAAAAGGCCATCTTTCTACAGTTGCCACTTTTTCTATTTCCCTTGGGTGGCCTTAATAGACAGGTTTAACTGTATAGTTAGCAAGGGAGAAAAAAGAGACGGTGAGAGAGTAACAAACTAACTTGTCAAGCTGTAGCAGAGTATCATAATCCTCATCTGTGATGTCTCTGTTCTCTAAATCTGACATGACGGCTGACGGCAGGGCGCCTCCCGATCCTCTCTGTGCAGGGCGCCATCTCTGGTTGCTTTTCTAGAGATGAGTAAAGCGAGAACATACATTTGAATGTTAGGCTTCCTGGGAGAAGTTTCAATTGTTATAAAGAAATGTTTAGCTTGCACCCAGTATGAAGATTGTATGCTAATTTTGTTATTGAAAAAGGGTCAGAAAAAGAATCTTGGAACCAGCAGGATTTGAACTTGCTGTCTACTACTTGGAGGGGGGGGGGGGTAGCAACTCTACCACCAGGCCATCACTGGTCCATGACACAGTCACCATGAACTGGAAACAAACACCTCAGCTCTCCTTTACTCATTCTGAATCATTCTAATTTCTAATTTATACAACAAGGGCCGGGTCCTCTCCCTCTTTGTGAAGAACAATGACCAACGTCCTCCTGGTCAACCCATAGCAGTTCACAGTATTCTAGAAGTCTATAATAAAGTACTTTCTCTTCCTTTAATTGGCAACAATCTTTTAATTACACTGGTTCATGAATCAACATTCAAAACAGGGATGGAGGCTGAGCATACATCCATGAGAAACTCCTAGCTATCTCGATCAGTTTATAATGGCCGACTTACCTGTCTAAACTGGAACGAGTGCTGTGAATGGATGTTAGATACGAAGCAGTTCTGACACAAGAAGAGGTCCGTACATCCTGTGCATCTGAAAAAATATATACAAAAATAGTTAAATAATAATAATAATACATTTATAGAGCGCAGAAACTTTCCAACATTAAGTATATATTCTACTGCGCTACAAGAGCTCCTGATATGCTTAGATTTACAGTTAATTGAAAAGATGTGCTTTCAGTTTAGATTTAAAGATGTTCACAGATTGGTGTTTTCTAGACTTCCAACAGTTTACTAACATATCAAATTTATTGATGTTTCTTTCCTGAGGACCTATATACTCTAGTGACGAGTTCTTCCATTAACCTGTTATAATTGAATGAACAACAATAATTGGAAGCTAGTCTGCACACATTACTTGTTGCTATGCTGGGCAAGCCTCTGGCCAGCTTTCAACATTATGCATACTGGTAAATTTTTTAATATGTTAGTAGAATATATTGAACAACCCCAAAGTTTTTCATACAATTCTATTCAAACTTACTTAGTGCAATCTTAAGTAATTTTCTTGATAACAAATTTGGTGTCAAATGATAATTTCATAAGATGGTGCCCAGTTCTCTAATTTTCAAGTATTACAAATCAGATCTCTAGTTTGACTACCTAATTCTATATACCAAAGGGGCCAACACTCTAATTCCTATCAGAATACATACGGGATCTTCTAGGGGATCAAGATTGTGGAATGGTCTTCCCCAAATCCTTCGCTCTTGTCACCAGTTATCCACTTTCAGAACTCAACTAAAGACATACCTATTTTACATTACTTACAATTAGTCACTTCTCTTTTGTCTTTCCAAATTAGCATCATAAAAAGACATTTTTTGTAGTTTTTCAGTCTCATCAGCGCCTTTGATTAGGTCACTTGATATTGGCACTCTATAAATTCCTAGATTGGATTGGAATACATAGACTTACTTGTAGCACTTGCCGGAGATGGGTGACTGGTTACAAGCATCACACGACTTGCCCATGTGAATATCTGCATGCTCTGCTCTCGTCTTCTGTAAAGCCGCATTACGATACTCAGCCTCCAGGGTGTCTATCTGACCGAAATCCTCCCTGCAGAGGGGGCACTTCAAGACAGTCTCCCCAGTGGACTTCTGATGGTCGGCCCATACCTTCATGCATTTGATATGAATGCTCTTAGCACAACCAAACCTGTGTCGTGATGAACATAGCAGGAAAATATCACAGTTGTAAATATACTGAATTAAATTGTACATGTGCATGTAACCGTAAAATAAAAAAGACAAATTCCATTTGGACTCATTTGTGGAGATTACAATGAACAGTCAAACTTGTTTGTTTTGTTTTTTTAAGGTTTCTTATATATATATTTTTTTTTGGGGGGGGGGGGGATGGCATCTAAAAAACATTCCCCCCTCCCCCCTTTGAATAAGAAAATTGGGATAAAATAGGGGGAAATGAGGGGAAAATGGGGAAAATAAGGGTTAAAATCAGGAAGAAAAAGAAAAAAAAATCGGGGAAAAATAAAATTGGTTGGTAATTATCAGGCCTGAGTGTAGGCAGGTGGCCTCTCTAGACAGGTTCTGCAACATGCATTTCTTTCTCAAGGGAGAAAAAACACATGGCCACTATACACAGGTGACTTTTATAGAGATTTTGCCACTAAGACAGGTTTGACTGCATTATCTTCTTCTTCTTCTTCTGATTAAGTCTGCCTCTTTCAATTGACTAAAGACTCTTGCAAACTATCATTCAAAAGGATAATTCTTTGAAGATGAACTGCCAAGTATTTATGTTAACCAGTTTAGAAAATTACTAAGAAATACAGCTCTACAACACAAACCTGCAATAGGTCACCGGCTCTCTGTTTCCGAGAAGTTCATCTTGGCAAATAGGGCAAACATCCTCTTCGGTGATCTCTCTCTGCTGTAGTGCTTCTTTACCATCTGTATGATGGTAAGTTGTATCACCCTTAGCAGCATTCCTTGCGATTCGAGCTGCTACTGCTCGTCTCCGTGGATCCTCTTTCTTTGCAAGGCCTCTCAGAACATCATTGATCTCACGCTCCACAAAGCCTCGTTGATATGATACTGGATTAAATGTAATCACAAGGAAGAAATTCATTATCTTAAATCTAATCTTTCTAGTCTTATATGAAATATATTGTTATGCATAAAATAATTCATCTCTTGTTCCATTTGGCCTTGCTGTCGTCGAAGAGATCATGAATTGAATGTTCTCAATAAAACCTGATTTATGTACATCTATAGATTCATTTATCTCAAGCTCTCATCTAGTTGAAATGATAATAAATTGAATATTTATTTGGTAATACTATATCCTTTTCCTCTAGCCCTAAACTAAACTTGGCAGAAAAGTTTAGATATTCAAGTTTGAACTGTGGTTATAACACACTACATTTTAGAATCCATAGACAATCTTAACACAAAAGCTGGCATCTACTAACTTTTGGTGCAACATTTGACTAAGACATCCATAGTATGCTTCTGTTGTTATGGAATATGTGTTTTACCTCTCTATCATATGACGCAGAATGTCTACTCTAGCACTTCTTTAAGGTTTGTGCTTTTCATAGATCTTTGCAAAAACTTTAAATGAAATTGTTCAATGTTCAGTAACAGTTTTTACTCATTTGTGATGGCTACAATGATAGCTATACTTTGGGACTTACGTTCATTATTCCTATCCAGACGAAATTTCTTCAGTAGTACCCTTTAACGGAAGAATAAGAAAAAAGGAATTAATTTAAAGCACATTATAAAATATTTTTCACTTATTGATTTAACTTGAGAATCATTTAAAGTGAACACACAGGATAACAAATAGAATTATATATGATACTGTAACGATCCGCTCTGTCGTGACGTAACAAAGAGGCCTAACTTAAATGAGTCATCGATTGTTGTTTCAAGCGCGTCATACACAGACACACAATGTTTACGTTAATAATTTGCATACGAGCGCTTGACATTCGGATCTTTTATTGAGATGCCAAGATGTTAAGTTTTAATTGTTTATAAGTATATCACATGAATTTGGATGGAAACTTGTTTAGACAATGTAACTTGTTAATATTTACTGCAAATGATATGTCATTCAGAGTGTTGTATTTAATTAATGGTAAAATAAGAGATTTACTTAGATATTTTGCTCTGAGCTAGCACAGTCTTCATGCTAAGTCCATTGTCGCTGCGCATGTGCTTTCCAAGATCGCTTAGCGCATCGTTTTCCCCCACGTCCGCATTATGCCTTTATAACCCGTAACATTTCTTAAACGCTGGGAGTTGGCATTGGGCGCTCGTCGGTATAACAGCTATTATTCTCTCCCTGGAAACCCCCCCCCCCCCCCCAAAGGAGTTGGCATTGGGCGCTCGTCGGAATAACAGCTATTTAGTCTCTCCTTGGAAATCCCCCCCCAAAGGTCTTGGAATTGGGCGCTCGTCGGAACCACACATAAGCTCTCTCTCCCTCCCTAGAAATCATCCCATATATCTAAGGAACTACACGTTATTAACAACTGGAATATGAAGGTACAGAACGAAATCGACGCTGGAATTAAGATGCTGGAATTAATATACCACTATTAAGATGATGGAATTAAGATGCTGGAATTAATGAACCACTATTATTAAGATGCCCCATATGATGCTATGGAATTAAACTAAGATGGAAAAGTCCCAAGTCCCATAAATCCCAATGAGTCATTGCCCTTCACTTTATTACATGTATTCGAATATAAGAACGACAATCGTATAAATTCATTAAGTATAACTATGAGCACAAGGTATTTGTGACAGTGGTGATATAAGATGTTGTAAATATTTGAAGTACATGTATTAATAAAAGTTGACCATTTTCTTTTGTCTTGAAACTGAAATTATGAGTCTATAAACACTTTGTCTTTCTTCTTGACTTGTACTCCGTCATAGTCGTATATTTCGACGAAACAAACGTAAATAAGTATTGAAGCTTCCCCCGTCTTTTCTTCAAATAAAAGATAAGATCTAATTACTTTAACCGCTCGGATATTATAAATAAGATGTCGGCTGACGAATATCCTGACAGATATAAAGAATCAGTTTCCCCAGCTGGGAATGAGAATAATCCCGACGTAGAGGTCGAGGTTAAAGACGGAGGCGGGGGCGGCCGCCATAATACCTTTGTTTACAAGTTACCAAATTAATTAATTGACCCTTTCTTTCATATTTAGATGAAATGTAATTGAAATCTTCTTTAAAGTTTAATAGATCATAGTGACTTTCAATTCTGTTATCTGAAAGAAATTAATATTCCATGGAAGTTTGACATTTTCTCTTTCTACAAGATCATTGTGTAAAGCCAGAACCATTGTATATACAGAGTCTGGCCAATTTGGTTTCAGTTGGTCACAATAGGTATATAATTCTTCTTTTTGGTGTTACCCAACAAAGTAGTATTGCTACGTTATGCCCAACTTGAACCGGGTCGGCCAAACACTCCTAATCAATGGAACTGAGTATAACTACATCAAATACATTGTACTTTGAGAACCTGCTAAAAAGCATACTGGTATACTACATTTGCATTTGAACTTGTGGAATAGTTATTCCACATTATGTACTTTTAAATCCATTGTAAGAACTCACCAACAAATATGCTTGCACGGCTCCTTCTCCTTCTTGAACACAGAACAGGTACACTTATGAGGATCTCCAAGAAGCACCTACAAGAAGATAATCATCATAGAGGGAGATTTAAAGTTAAAGCAAAAGCAAAAAATGCAGAGAAAACGGCTAGTGAAGAATGATTAATGAATTTAGCATATGTTTAAAATAAGCCTTGTCATACATCTACATTTATATGTAGTTTGGTCCTATTTATTTCAAACTTTTGCCACTCTATTCATCTTATATTTCTGCTTTCAAACAATAGAGCTCATTAAAAAGGTTCAAGTTGGATTGCCCTGTAATATATCAACAAACTGTAAGGCAAAAATTCCAGGTCTAATCTTGTTTTTAAGATTTATCATTATAAAAGGATGGATGGCTTCAGATAGAATATTACTTCTGCTTATGTTTGATCAGTGAAATCAATCTCTCCTAGTATACCTTGACCTTCTTGGACTCTCCTTCCTCCTTAAGCAGGAATCCTGTTGGACCCGTTTCTCTGAGGATGTAAATAGTCGCTGACAGAGCCTGGTCCTGGTGCCAAGACACCGCATCAGAAACAGACCTCTGCCAGGGTACACTCCTAATCGCCATCGTCAAGATCTAGATGGGCATAAATCATTTAAAGAAAAGGTTTAGTTCTGGAACAGAGCTCTGCATTGCCCGATATGCAAGCGTACACGCCCGTTGTATTCCGTGTGCCGTTCCGTTTGCTAATTCACAAACACACACGCGGTTCGGATGCATACACACGCGCCATCCAAATGTACACACGCAGGGCTATGTGTACGAAGGCTTGCAACATGGGTAACACGCACAAAGATTGTTTTGCGTCGAGCGTAAAATACATATTCATGTCACCATGGGTTCGACTCCCACCCAGGCGGATGACTGAAGTCTGCGTTGTGTGTTAACGTGCCCCTTCCCTTGTTCATAGACGCAGGTTATGTCAAGTGGAAAACACTCTGTCCCTCGGATAGGACGTTAAATGGAGGCCCTGTGTACAGGAGAGTCACCACCCTTGCACATCAAGAACCCATTGCACTATTCGTATAAGAGTAGGGGGAAACCCCGGTGTAATGTCCACTTGCACACCCCCACCAGGCCGAGTATATACGGCATCTGCAATAATCTTCAGTATTGAAGGAGGCAGATTATCTTGAAGAAGAAGAAGAACTGGAATGGCTTGTGATACCTTGGGGCTAACGAAAAAATGATCAGAAAAAATAAGCGCATGGATATATTCCTCACACCTGACCCAACTTAAGCTAAGCCTCGGGGCGTCGTTTCTCCAAAGTGGCAAATCTCGGGCTACGAATCTGGACACAACATTTAGAATCGCTGTTTTGACCAAGATATTTTAGAATTATGAGATGACGTGCACCCCTTTTGGAATATGAAGAAAAACCTGCTCTTTCATATGACACCTCATTTATTGAGTATCACCTTCAGGATCACGAGTAATAAAGGTTTGAATCTCGATTTGATAATAAAAACATTGACCAATTTTGCATGGTCGCGCGCGCGCAATGTACAGGGATGCGTGCAATCTCTATGGGAAGGATTTTATCACACAAAATCGAGTGCGCGATCAGACACGTACCGTACCCTAGTTTAACTTACAAAAACGGTTAGTTAGGTCTGTTACTATTATTAGTCAAGCAAATGATCTGACTTACAAATTAACTGGCGAGACTCTATGTAGTCCTAGAATAGATAGACTGTTTCGGTCCAGTTTTGAGACAAACTCTCGTTCTAAAGTTCTACTCCCCAGCTCCCCGGCGTGTCGTAACTACGGAGATGTTAAATGAAGATCTCACTATGGAACGCCAAAGGGGCAATTACCTACTTTCTTCTTTAGTACAGGCCAACGCGTGCAGGCTTTTGGTTTGGTTTGGTTTGGGTTTGACGGTTTATTTTACCTGCCTGCTTATTCCCTGCTATTATTATTTTTAAAAAGCATATGTATGCTTTTAAGTAAATAATCAGGGGCCCTTCATTTCATCCAACATAGGCGGCACTCCCGGTGGGTGGGGGCACAGTGCCCCACTTTTTAGTGCCCCAAAGTTCCACTTTTACATCAACAATTTTTATAAATGTCACTTACCACCAGTGGCGTAATGAGCAAAAACGTTTGGGGGGGCTGACAAAAAAAATCCAAATCACCCCCACTCTAACATGCAGTCCCTGCTGAACGTTTCTCGAAATTGGGTCTAGTGGCAAAGCCCGGCGGGGGTTAAGGGGCGGAGCCCCTAAGCTCAAGGGGTATGGGCATCAGTGGCGGATCCAGGAATTTCTTACGGGGGGGGGGGGCACAAAATGGCAAGGGTTGAAATGTAAAACGATGAAGCGACAGAACGAGGCTTTAATGGCGAGGGAGTGGAGTGACCAAGCAGGGGGTGGGTCTGGGAGGGGGTTCTGGCCCCCTCCCAGAGTAAGAAGCGTTTGCAATTTTAAAACCAAAGTAGACGTATTTTCAGGCACTTCCTGGCAGGGGCGTCGCTAGACCTTTTTTAGTGGGGGGGGGGGGTGTAGAGGCCACCGATTACCGACAAAACTAGCCACCAATTACCGACAAAATTAAATGTTCAATATCTACAAATAACCCTATAAACCCGGGGCCGAAGCTAAAAAAAAAATTCATATGGACTATCTATAGTACTTGCATATGCGCGAAATGGTCATTTTCCTCGAAGACATAAATATACGTATTATTTCTTCAATTTATTCAGCATCATAGCTATATATTTTAATGCAGGCGCGGAGCTAGGATCTTATTTTAGGGAGGGGCGGTAGTGAGCAAGAGAATCACTTAAAAGCGCGCTCATTAGGGGGTGTGGGTGATGGGCCTCCTGCGCGAATCGCGGAAGCTTAGACGTTTCCTTTAATTATAAGGAAAAGAAGACGATTAATTGTACCGTTTTCGACTAGTAATCCTTGGCTGAATGAAGTTCCCCCACCCCCTCCCATCCCCCACCCCCCTCTTTCACGTTTCATTAAATTATGAGAAAAAGCAGACGATTCGGTGTACTGTTCTCGACTCTTAATCCTTATCTAAATGAAGCTTCCCCCTCCTGCGCGAAGCGCGGAAGTTTTGACGTTTCATTAAAATTATTAGAGAAAGAAGACGATTCGTCGTACCGTTTTCGACTCTTAATAAGCCCTATTCTTCTGTATTCAGTTTCCCCCCTCTCGCGCAAAGTGCGAAAGCTTTGACGTTTCCTCATATCATTAGAGAAAGAACACGATTCGTTGTACCGTTTTCGACTCTAAATAAGCCCTATTAATTTTGTCTGAACTCAGTTTTCCCTCTCGCGCGAAGCACGGAATTTTTGGCGTTTCATCACAATATATAGAAAGGAAGACGGTTCGTCGTACCGTTGTTGACTCTTAAACCTTGTTTGAAATTAGTTTTCCCGAAAATTTTAAACCTCTGATTTCTTTAGCTGATATTATATAGAAAAGCGAAACTTCGAGAAAAAACAAGTATTGTAGTTGTAGTCACTCTCGAAGTCGTCACAGCGGATAAGAAGACACAGTTCGTAGGGAAAAAAACTTGTCGGCCGACCGACAATATACATCTCACCGACTTCAAACTTCTGCATTGATATAGTACACGAGGATCGATCAAGAATACCGACACAGCTGACCCAACACAGCAACATATTTACCCGTTTCTTTCTTGCTCCCTCGACGAGACGACTCCACCCAACAACTCCCTTCTCTCTTTTACTCCCACTCCTCCTCTCTCAGACTCTTACCTCCCTTCTCTCTCCTCTCTTTCATCTCCCGTTTCGTTTGTTTCCCTTTCACTCTTTTTTCTTCTTTTTTCTTTCTTTTCCTTTCTTTCCTCTCCTCCCTCTTTTTCTTTTTTCTCTTTCTTTCTTCTCTTTTCTTTCCTTTCTTTTCCTTTCTTTCTTTTCTTTTCTTTTTTTTTCTTCTTTTCTTTCCCCTTTCCCTCTCTTTTTTCCCTCTCTTTTTTTTCCCTCTCTTTTTTTCCCTCCCCCTTTTCTCTTTTTTCCGACGGCAGCGCAATTTTACCGACAATATCCTGACAGGTGGGGGGGGGGGTGTCGCACCCCTCACCCCCCCCCCCCCCTTGGCGACGCCCCTGCTTCCTGGAATAATATAATATGACGTAAAATTGCTTTCTCCTACCCCTTCCAAGAGTAGGGATCTTTTGCAATTTGAGAACCACATTTGGCGCATTAATGTCCACCGGCACTTCCTGGAAAAAAGAGGCCTTCTTGAATTCAGACAAGATTAAGAGTAGAGACCGGTACAACGAATCGTCTTCTTTCTTTAATAATTTAATGAAACGGCAAGGTTCCGCGCTTTGCGCGGGAGGGGATTCGTTAGAAGTTAGAGAAAAGTGATCTGACACGTCGTGAGACGTTGTATAGATTATGCTTTGATGCCGGTACTTGACTGTAGTACTTGCAAAAATTATCTCGAGTGTATAAACTGTGTCGTTATCGGGGGCGCGGCTAAATCTTTTTCAGTGGGGGAGGGGGGAAGGGTGTAGAGGCCACCGATTACCGACAAAACGAGCCACCAATTACCAACAAATATAAAAATGCCAATGTCCAAATGCCTACAATTTTAACCCCATAAACCCGGGGCCAGGAACTAATTAATTTTTTCAGTTCCCCCCCCCCCTCCCGCGCGAAGCGCGGAAGCTTTGACACTTCATTATATTATTAGAGATAGAAGACGATCCGTTGTACCGTTCTTGACTCTTAATTCTTGGTTCGCCCCTCCTGCGCAAAGCGTGGAAGCTATGACGTTTCATTTAATAATTAGAGAAAGAAGACGATTCATTGTTCCAACCCCGACTCTTAATCCTTGTCTGAATTCAGTTCCCCCCCCCCTCCCGCGCGAAGCGCATAAGCTTTGACGTTTCAATAATTATTACTCTTAATCCTTGTCTGAATTCATTTTCGTCCATCCCGCGCGAAGCGCTGAAGCTTTCACGTTTCATTTAATTATTAGAGCAAGAAGACGATCCGTTGTACTGGTCTCGACTCTTAATCCTTGTCTGAAATCAGTCCCCCTCCCGCGCGAAATGCGGAAACTTTGTCTTTCAATAAATTATTACTCTTAACCCTTGTCTGAATTCATTTTCGCCCATCCTGCGCGAAGCGCGGAAGCTATCACGTTTCATTAAATTTATAGAGAAAGAAGACGATTCATTTTATCGTGTATTTGTCTGAATTCAGTTTTCCCCCTCCCACGCGAAGCGCGGAAGCTTTGTCGTTTTATTTAATTATTACTCTTAATCCTTGTCTGAAATCATTTTCGCGTTTCATCAAAACCGTTCTCGACTCTTAATCCTAGTCTGAATTCAATTCCCCCTCCCTCCCGTGCAAAGCGCGGAAGACGATTCGTTGTACCGTTAGTACTCTTAATCTTGTCTGAATTCAATTTCCCCCACTATATGTGCAGTGTTACATGATGTAAGTATGGAACGCTCGTTCGCAAATCTGTGCACGCTCAGCCCGAGTGGTAGGTAGCATGTTATCTCCCGGCAGTGCTTTGCACAAAGCTTCTGGAAAGGATTTTTTTTACCAGTGTTACTGTTGGTGGCCACTATAAGGCCCTTAGTGACAATAGAAACATAAGCTCTTCCTTGCTTTTTGGGGGAATGGGTCAGTTTGCAAGAATTAATGGAAAAACTAGCATTTTGTTGAAAATCATGTGATATCACGAACATATACATCACTTGTGAAAAAAAGTCGTGGTTCAATTTTATTTGGGGGGGGGGGGGGGGCTGAAGCCCCCCCAAGCACCCCCACCAGTACGCCAGTGCTTACCACCTGTGATAAGTGCCGCTTATATATAACTCTAGTAATTGCCCCCAATTCAAATCTGATAGGTGCCCCTTGATCCTTCGACGGTTGCCCCTTTTTCCTTTGCAAGAACTATCCCTTTTCCATCCTCATAAGTGCCCCTTCTCGTCTCTTTTAATTTTTGATATAGTGAGTAGGGGTCTACGTGCGATGACTAATTCTTATCAAACCTTTCACTATACAGTAAATAAATGCAAAATGCCAAAAAAGTCCCCTTTCATTTCTGATAATCTCCCCATTCGAATCTGTTCAGTGCCCCCTATTCTTCGACAAGTGCCCAGTTTTCTTTGTAATAAGTGCCCCTTTCCCTTCTGATAAGTGCTCCCTTTCATGATCGAGTGCCCCCTTTTATTTTTACACGTGCCCCTTTTCCTTTCTAAGTGTTTTTTTCCTTCTAATAAGTGCCCATTTCCTTTTCATTAAGACTTTAAGAGCTTCTTCTTTCTGATAAGTGCCCCGACCTTTTACTTTATTCATAACAAGTTCCCCAAGCAATTATGAGCACAACCCCCCCCCCCCCAAGCTCACTCGTTACGCTCACTCGAATTTATAGTTGATTTGATTTGACTATTTTACTTATAAAAGGTATTTGCAGTCTTTCACGATTAGATTGTGCTTTTAACCTCTTGAGGATTGTTTTTTCCTCTATATCGCATTGCAACCTCACACATCTTTACATTTTTGCTCGCTTGCAAATAAGTATGCAAACTATCGCACCACCTTGGTATTTTGTTGTGTGTAAACCCCCCTAAATTTCCCTAAACCCCCCCCTCCATTCCCATGGTTGACCTCAAAAAGATGACCTTACCCCCCCCCCCCAACGGAGCAAAATATCATATTTTCAAATTTCGATACAAAAAAAAAAAAAAAAGTGTCCTCTTACGAGCGCGAAGCACGAAGACTTGACGGCGTGGGGTTTGCTGCTATAACTGATTATTATCGATAACCAAGCAATGAATTAAAACTTTAAAAGTTTGAGA